GGGAGATCGGCTTTCCGGCCGTACTCGCCCGAGTCGTCGGCCAGCAGCGACGGCGGCGGATGTGCGCCACCACCGATGACGTCCGGCCCGTCGCCCACGGGCCGGACGCCGTTACCCCCGTACGAACGCGGCGGCGGCGGCGGCGGCGTCCATGACGGAGACGCGGCGTTCTTCGATCGGCGGTGCGCCGAGATGGAGACCATAGTCAGCAACCTCGGCCATTCCGACCAAGGTCACCTGTGCATATACTGCGGAAAAGTCTACTCCCGGAAGTACGGGCTCAAGATTCACATCAGGTAACGACGGGGACACGCGCGAACGCTACGGCGAAAGGGGTGACCGCGGTCAGTGACGTGGCGAACTACGAGCAATATAGGACCGAACAAATTCGTTAATGACCCGGCGCGTCCCGCCAATCGATTCGCAGCGTTAGCGTTCGACCAACACCTTGAATTTTTAGGTCCGCACGAATTCCACTTCCGTCTTCCAGTGTGCTTAACCGTTTACCGATAAGTGACCGAGTCGCGTTCCACCTAGGAACGGGACTAGGGGCAGGAATACGGGGTTTTATCGCCGGGCGTAAAATTGTGGATGGTGTAATTTTCGTGGTAAATAATTTATTATTGACTGCTATAGTTTGATATTTTTAACTTGGCGAAAATCTCTAGTTCCGCCTCCGATTCCACCGCCCGTCTTCTCCGAATTCCAGAAGCAACGGCTTCTGAAAATCATGGTTCGCGACGCCACTGACCGCGGGACTCGGGGCCGTACTGACAGGCGTTTCTAACCGTCGGAAGCGGGCCACCGGCTCTCGTGCCGAGCACCGACCGGTGGAGCCAATTAAGCAACCGTAGTGTTCGACGAGAGAAGCTCTTCCGCCCCCCCCCCCCCCCCCCCCTTACGGAAACTATTATTATTGCGTTCCGTTACGAGAACGGAGGAAAACGCGTTTTCGCGCGAAACGTACGATTCGAAATACATCTCGCGCATTCGAAAAATGTCTGAGGACAAATAACCTGGCCACGAAAACGAGTGAATTTAACAGACCAACTCGTATTTATCACGTCAACAATCCGCAGACAAATGACCCAAACCGGTGGATCGCACATCTGTGTTCCTTTCCCTAAGCTCTACGATTACTACAGTCTTGATGACATCGTTTTCCGCTTGTCTACAGGACCCACACCGGTTTCAAGCCGCTGAAATGCAAGTACTGCTACCGACCGTTCGGCGATCCGAGCAATTTGAATAAGCACGTGCGACTACACGCCGAAGGAGACACACCGTACAAGTGCGTTACTACCGCGCGGCGAAATTATTTTCTCTTCTCTCAGATTGTGCAGAACCGTGACTAATGCAGTTTCGTTGTTGCAGGTGCGATTGTTGCGGCAAAATACTGGTGCGCAAAAGGGACTTGGACAGGCACATGAAGTCAAGGCACGCGCGGACAATGCCGAAAAGCTTGTTTAAAATGCACGTGCCCGTGTGAACGACCGCGTGTGTTTACATTTTATTTTTGCCCGAAAAACGGTCTACTCTGATGCGGAATTAAAAAAAAGTTGTTATTTCGTTTGTGATATTTTCAAATAGTTTAAAAATAATTTAGCGTATAAGTAATGTTTAAAGACCCACACGGTTTAACATGGTTATTGTAATACTACGATTCAACCTGAAAAACTATTATTTTTTTTATTTTCACTTGAACTATGAACGCTTTAATTCATAATGATATCCATACATAGTACATTGAAAATGATATGTCATCACTAGTCAATACGTAATAATATTTTAATAATATATGTAAGTGTTCCTGTGTACGGCGTTTAAACCATTTTTTCCCCTTAATTTATTTATTACTTTCAAATGAAATGTTGGACATAAACTTATTTAAGTCGGGAGGCATTGGTAGTGGTGCTATACAAGGATTTCTATGCAAGACTTACTATTCTGAGTGCGTGGTAAATGATTATTAGTGTATCTGCAGGACCGTAGCAACCAAATATTGCACCCGAGGCGAAACTAGTAGGCACTTCTAGCCCCCCCCCCCCCCCATACTACGGCCCTGTGTGTCTGTCCGCGCTTCACTATATCATACCCACTCAGCTTATCTGTCAATTAACGAATAAGTGAAGGAACATACGGACGTTATTTTACCGCACGTTTTGTTTAAATACATTCAAATGAATTAAACAAAAACATACGAGTGCCGCGCCGTTAAATTAAAGCGCAACATTTCGAAAAATGTCGCGTACACCTTGACTTTACAGCGCAATAAAAACGTCCAGTGGAAATGCATCATAATGATACGTAGAGAGCACATACGCGGCAACAAAATGCGCGACAGATTGTTAATTTATTTTCAACATTCGGCGTTAAATGATACACACAATTCGTGTATCAACAGTGTCGGGTTAAGAAATTTTCCGCCTGGGGGCAGATTTTAAAATGCCGCCCCTCAATACCCTTGGTATCTTTGTACTCATTCTAAAAAATAAAATATGTCACAACGTTAAAATTGTTAAATGAATATATATATATATATAAATTTTAAAATAGTTACATAAAGCACCAGTAGCTTTTTGGTTAATAAAACTTTATTAATAAAGGTTACAGTGCAGTTTTAGTACAAACATTTTATAAACATTTAAATACAAATTGTAAATTTAATATTAAAAATTTATATTTTTTTTCTAGCTTTCTGGGCCACAAACTCTTTTATAAGATCATTCCAATTCATACTTTGTAGCACACTATTAATATTTTATACATTCATTTTAGAACACTTTAAATCTTATGTTTTCGCCATAGAAATTTGCCGCCCGGAGCAGCTGCCCCCTTTGCCCCCCCCCCCTTAACCCGGCACTGTGTATCAAGCACTAACAGTCACTACGTCGTCGGATGAAAACTTGGCTCAAACTGAAATTTGTGTCGAGTCAGACGCAGGAATAGACATAGACCTTTTTTTTCGCTTATTGAGAATCTGAAAAATCACGAAACATCATTTATTTGTAACCAAATATTTTAGAATAAATTACATTTAGTTTTAACATCTCAAAAGTTAAAATACGGGTTAGAGCCCCATCATAAGCATCTTGAGGGTGCCCAGACACTCCCTGTTGTGCCGTGACCGCTCTTTCGAGCAGGACCCCCACAAGGGAGGGGACTGATGGACCTTGAGTACAAGGGCCCGGATATTTTAAGGGCCCGTAGGCCCGTTGAAATTTATTTGTAATTTTTGAAATTTTTGTAGAAATACTTATTTTACATTAAATAATATTGTAAAATAATATTTTATATATACATATTTAGTTATTTTGATAGTTCAAAATACGGATCAACCAATGATTACCAAGAAATGAATGGATTGGCTTCGAAAATCAATTTTGACGATACCATTACTGAGTTCGCTGAGCTCAAAGCCCGCAAAATAATACAGTAAATAATAACGAGGTTTTTATTTATATGAATTAGGTAATTTTATTGGAAATTAAAATGATCATAATTGGTGCCGAGAAAGGCAAACTGGCGAAAAACGGCCACTATTCGCAGTTCATCGTCGGTCGTAGTCGAGGAGAAAAAAAAGAACGACCGCTCGTCGCTGTCTGCCAACATTAGGTCGTTTTTCTGACGTGATAAAAAAAAACTAATTATAATTATAATTGGCCGATACTCTACATATCAATATGAATTATGGGTCTGTGACATGGGGACTAGGAGGGGAGCGTGTGTGAGATTGTCTAACCGGCGATGCGGGAATCGATCGACGGAAACCTGAGGTCCTCGGTGTAAATTGCCTCTTATCGCACGTCGCACCACTCCGATTACACATTTGTCATTTGCGTTGGACGTCACATACTTCTCAAAATTATTTACATAATACCAGAACCAAATAGGTAGGTTAAATATTTGCAAGAAAAAAAAAATATCTAGGTAGGATAGTAATTTACATTTAACAACCATTATATCTCCCCCACCACCCAATTTCACCAAATAACCAATTACAATTCAAGATAATTTGAAAATCTTAAGCGTCTAAGAACAGCATACATTTCAATCAAACTTATGAGTTGTCTCTAAAATGATGTTTACTCAATACATTTTTCGAATCGTTTCTGTTAATATAATTTATAGAATAACAACCTAATAACTATAATTGTATAGTTCATTGAAATACATGATTTCGTCAAAATTTCTTTTCCTAACGCTTATAAACTGTTTTGCGTTTTTCTATTTTTTTTTCTTTTTTTGGCTACAGAAATCTTACAAAACATCTTGTATCTAATTTGTAAGCATTTAATATTTAAATTCAAAAGTTTCATAATTTATTAAAACATAATTTGCGCGGTTATAGTTATGTTAAAATCATATAATCACACATAAAATTTTTATATTAAAATATTTTATATCTTTATTTTAAATAAAGCCAATTTTCTTTTCATTAATTAGTAAGATACATATAAGAGAAACTTTGTCTTTAACTTTCAAGTATTTTATCAAACCAAAACCTAATCAAATATCTGTAAATGAACCGTTTAAAAATTCAGAGCAGTGACAATAATTAAGTATAAATTTCAAGTTGCAATGACTTTAATGGATAATTTCATATATTATCAAAAATTATTTTTGGTCAAACATCAGCATTGTTTTATTAAAAATTGATCACCAGTTTTTCTTAATTGTTAAGAATATTTTAAGGAAAAAAATGAGACTAAAAGATTTCACAGTATTTATTTTTAAAGAAAACCGTATAAATCTATATATATATATATATATAAATATATAAACTTAAAAATTGATTATATCAGTTTATTAATTTATATTACATACCATGTGTGATTATTTGTTCATATATACAATTATCGAATTATTAATTTGATTATTATTTTTTTTTATTTTTAAAACCTATAATTTTAAATTTTTTCTTTTTCTAAGTGTTTAACTTACACAAAATATATAAATATTATAATATTGCTTCTCTTTTTTGTAGAAAGTTTTAGATTATCATTAGGCCATCTTCTGTTTTTCAATAAATAAAAAAACATTATATGGAATATAGAAAAAACAATTTAATACATATTAGTATTTTATGAGTCAATTTATTCAAATCACATGAATAGGCAAAAACACTTTTAACGTTTGCTGGACTTGGTCTTGGCAGCCAAACGCTTGTCACGTTCTTCAGCAATTGTCAATTTAACTCCTTTGCTTCTTGGCAGAGAAATGTAATTCTTTTGCCCCTTTCCAATAATAAATACATTGTTCAACCTAAAAGTAAAAAACACAATGAATTACTTAATAAATATTATTCTATACTATTTAATATACAAACAAAATGTACAAGACAATTGTCATTAAGTTAATAATTGTAACATTAAAATTAAGAAAATAGATATCATTTAAATTTATAGATATACAATTCATAACAAAATTTAATTCTAAATTAAATTATTTGTATTTTACTTAAAAATTAAAAATGACTCTAGATAGCTACTTTTGAATAATAAATTAATTTAACAACAGTATATATCAACAAAGAAGTTTTGACATATTTTAATAAGCATTAATTTTAAAAGAAGCAATAAATCTTAGAACACTACAAGAATCCAATATCAAGATCAAAAACGTGCCCAAAACAAAACCAAAAATTGTGATAGAATTCAAATGAGAAACCTAAGTTATGGCACAAATATTTTGAAAAAAAACAATTTAAAACTAATTACATTATATCCAATTCAGATAAGTAATAAAAAAATATATCATTACACAATTAAAACATTCTACCTAAAATTAAATTCAAATAAAAGAACTTACCTTGTGGCAAAAATGTGTTCATTAGCATCCTTAATGTGAACAATATCAAAAGATCCTGGATGTCTTTCCCGGTTAGTAACAATACCAACACGTCCCAAGTTACGACCTCCAGTGATCATGCACAGATTTCCTGTAATAAAATATTAGATATTTTAACAAATGGCAATGTGATTATACTGTGTCTATAAAATCTATAGAATATTTTACTTACCAGTTTCAAAACGAATATGATCCAAAATTTTAGATGTTGCAATATCGTACCTAATTGTATCATTAACCTTGATGTTTGGGTCAGGGTAACGGATAGTACGGCCATCATGAGTTGTTAAGAATGGAACACCCTTAGGTCCAGTTTGAACTCTCTTAACTTTACATAACTTGTACTATAATCAAACTCTATGTTAGCCAATGTTTATAACAACCATTTATATTTAATTTAATTACTTTAGCTTCTTCTGGGGTGATTCTGTGAATGGTGAAACGACCTTTTACGTCATAGATTAATCTGAAATGCTCACCAGTCTTTTGGATAGAAATAACATCTACAAAGATACAAAGAATATTAAAATCCAATCTAAATTAAATTTAATCATATTAATTAATTATATTATTATAAAATATATTTGGAAATAAAAATAAGTAGGTTAGAAATAGGTTAGGAAACAAATTTAATAATTTAATGAAAAGAAATATTTATTTGTATTATAAATCTAAATTAATATTAGATAAAAAAAATAATAATAAGAATAAATGTTTTATATTAAGGATTTTGTTATCCTAACCTATTGGCGAAAGAATAAAATTAACTAATTAAGAAGTTATTTTGAATTTAATATGAGTAAACAATATTTTTATTCCTGGTACCAACTAGTTAGGTTAAAATTTATATTAATGAAGTTTCACATAATTGAGGTATCAATTAAATCATTAAATCTTAGTTAAAAAAATTTAAGATAAAAGAATGTATGAAATTACTTAAAAATCATATTTAATTTAAGCAAATATTAAGATGCAATTGTTTTTTAAGTACATTAATATAATTTAAAAATCAATTATAAACAACATTTAATGGTTAATAAAAACTATGGCAAAAGATTTATATTATTAAATATGCAAGCACTTATGCACTTGAAAACCCTATAGTATGCATCAAAATTAGGAAAAACAAAAAATTGTATACAGTAACATATTTAAGAGTTAAGATATAATTCAAAAGGAAAATATTATTTATTAAAGTAAAAAAAAAATAAATAAAAATTACAACCAAATACTATGGTACGCGGAATATGCATAAAAAATAAAATTTTAACCACCCAATACTATATCAAATATACAGATTTGAATTTGGAAATAAGAAACTGAATCACATCAAAATAATATTGGATATTAAAATGTTTAATACTCAAAAAAAAAAAAAAAAAACAGATAGTAAGATTTAAACAGTACGTAACAAACCCATGAATCCAGCAGGATAATTGGGGTCAGTACGGACTTTGCCGTCAACCTTGATCAACCTTTGCATGACGATCTTAGTAACTTCAGCTCCGGTGAGTGCATACTTCAAACGGTTACGCAAGAAGATCAGTAACGGAAGCGACTCACGGAGTTTGTGCGGACCAGTGCTGGGACGCGGTGCAAAGACACCTCCCAATTTGTCCAACATCCATGCTTTGGGTGCGTTTAAACGCTTCAAATGCTTCTTCGGACCCCTAGCCTACACATAAAGATGACCATGAATAACACGTTCTGAACACAAACACATATAAATTTCAAGTAGCCGAACAACCGTCTACCGGAGACACGACCGGTGTTCAAAGCGAAAATAAAACAACGGTTCGTCGGAACACGAACGCGTCTTTTGGACACGATCCGCAGGAGAAACAGTCAAAAATCGAATAGGCCGACCGTCGTCAGATCGCTTTCGACAACGTTGGGTTGGACCGATGGTCGACCCGAAAACTGTGCGAGTAGGTACGACGGGGAATATTTCGCATCGTACCCAAACGTTATATTGTACGTGCAAATGAAAATCGAGAAAAGAATTTCGTCCGCGTTCGTATTTAATAACGTATTGGCCGACGGAAGGACGGTTGATCGGATCAAGACGGATGAAAACTTACCATTTTGACAAAATAATGTTACTGGACACACGAAAACTAGAAGTACATTTCGAGAGACTACCAACACATTCGGAAAGAAAGATAGTGGACGTCGATTTTATAGGTTAGGTTTTTGTAAACACAATACACGCGGCAGGGAGGCTAGGTTGAACGCGCGATAATTGATTACTTACAATCTCACTGGATTCCGCGCGGTATTTTTAAAAATAATTTATCACGACGAACTACGGCCGTGAAAGTGTAACGTTAGTATTTTTAGTAATACGTTTTATTCTAACACACGAATTTTTTTTTAATAGAATTTTTAAATATTATGTCTAAAAATATACCTTATGCACAATGTAATTTTGTTTAATTTTTATTATTCTCTCAACGCACCATGCACATAATACATACGTTTGTAAATATTGACTTTGCTGCACACAATACACGGATTGAATGTTACATTATTTTTTCGTACTATATCGTTTAAAATAAAGCAATATCGGGGATCGGGTGGAATGCAGGAATCGATTGAAATACAGTCTGGTGACTAATAATATTATGATTTTCAACAAAAGAGGATGGATTAACCTCATTAACAAAAGAGTACTATATTAGTATAAGTATCTACAAATTTCATCATCAGGTTTAATGATGTAACATGATCAAACATCTAATTATCAAACAATTTTTCCAAAAAAATATAGAAGTATCATCTTTCACGTAATTATAACAGATATTATAATAATATATTATATTATATTATTATAATAATGCAGAATGTACAATCATGAATTCAAACTCAGTCTCCAGTGTTTTAATTTTCTGGGTAAAATTACTGTATTGAGGGAAGGAACTACCTTCGTTTACATTCTACCAACCACTTAGTTATAAATTGTAATCAAATATACCGAAGGATACCAAATGGATAAGGATAAAGCTAGTTATTATGGCAAATATAGAGTATTTAATTACAAATAGAGAAAACATAGTGTTAACAATAAAGTAAATATTTAAATTATTTAACAATAAAAGTAACATTGAAATTATCACACTACAAAAATAATAACAATATAAATATAGACCTGAATATTTTGATTTTTGATTATCAATAAGAAACTTATTAATTGTAAGTATAAAAAGGTCACATAGTTAGCTGTACATTTGATTTGTTTTTAATATTTTATTTTATTATATATTGAAAACTCAGCAAAGACTGTTATAAAATAGAAAGAAATAAAGATTTACACCATAATCACATAATCAATGAATAACAACTTCAAGTTTCCTAGACATTAAATAAAATTTTAAACTGAGAGACATAAAATAAGATTAGCAGCACAGAGAAGAGAGACTATTTAAACCGAAATGTAGTTGATAAAAAATCAACAATAAATAATTTAATTCAAATTTTGATACATTTGTAATAAAAGGAAATTAATGTAAAACACATGAAAATAAAACACTGTAATCCGATTGAAAAATAATAAATATTATTCTGTAAAAGCTATAGTCAACACATACTTACTGATGTTAATTTAAAATATTAATTCTTCATATGAATTATGATTTATATAATATACAGTAGATCCTCGATAGTTCTGATCTCCAGTAATCTAGTGAACATGGTTATCAGGACAGTATATAAATACATTTGTAGTTTTCTCAGAACTCCCAGAAACTACTATACTTAAGTTCTAACTAAAAGCATTTTTTTTTTTTTTTTGTAATTCATTATGTTCATTATTAATATTATTCTTGTAATTTCAAGTACAATAAGTATGAAGGTGGTGGAATTAAAAATTTTAGTCATTTAAGTAGGTTATCTTGATAAACCTCTGGTAACCCGAATATCTTGGCGATACTTGATTTGTATTCATCTGGACTATTGATGCTCTACTGTATATATATATTATAATATCATAAGTTATATTATAATAAATTAAACTTAAGAAAATACATATTTTTCATTCATATCTATATTTATTATTAGATTTATATGTCAACAATTTATCTAAACAAATATTAATAAAAATACATAAAATAAAATATTGCTATTTATGAATAGTAAGAAAATTGAAATTAACTGAATTATTTAATAATAGCACATTACATAAAATATAGTATAAAGAACCATTAAAATCAGGTTTTTGAAATATCAAACTTATTTTAGTATTAAATTCTATATGATTGATAGCTATCGTAAGCAGTTATTCTTTATTTTGTCCGATTTATTCAATCTATTTTAAATAGAAAAAATAAACACTAGCTAATAACTATCATAAAAAATAAACTTATACATCAATCAGTTTTCAATGATTGGCTTTGAGAATTTTCATTTTCCATTTTCATTCGTTTTTTTTCACGAATGTCTGCTAGTGTTTGCTCAATTGATCTTAAATCTTTTTTATTTTCACTAGGCACTAAAAATAATTTGGGTTAATTAGTTGAACATAACAAAATTTAAAACCAAAATATTTTTAGAAAATAAATAATTTTAAATTTACCAAATCCGTAAGATTTATTAGTTTCTGTTTTTCTTGCTGCTTGCTCAGCTGCTTCCAATCCAACAAGGTGTTGAAATTTTTCTTTGTAATTATATTTAGGTTTATCTTGGTTAGTTCGTTTTTGCATCATTCGTTTTTGTTCATCTAACATCTCTTCAATTTTACTTTGTTCTCTCTAAACATTCATAATACATTATATTCATAAAATACAATATTGCATCAATGGTAGAGCTTAATATAAAATAAATATGTATCTTGGTTTAACATGAAAAATCAAAATAGTTTAAATATTAAAAAATACGTTTTCAAAATGTTTCTGAATATAATTTTAAAAAATTGTATCATAGTATCATACTCTTGTTAACATTAATATAATTTTTTATATTCATAGTTAAATATTAGATATAGAAAGAATATTTATTTAACTATAATAATTATAGTTAAGTTTTAATTATTAAAACTTCAATATTAGCAAAAATTTACAAATAATACACTATTAACATATAACCATTATTGAAAATGTCATAAAAATGTTAAGATTTAAGACAAATTTTTAAGTTACACTTAACAAAATTAAAAAAAAT